CCCGGCCCGCCCCTGCCCCCCCGTCGGGGGGGAGGCGGGGGCGAGACCAGCCCAGAGCCGGCACCGCCGACCCCCGCGCTAGCCCGGAGCTGTCCCACACCCCGGGGCCTCGGGACCCCCGAGCCCACAGCCCCGGACAGGAGAGCTCTCCTGGGGGAGAGGAGGTGAGAAACGGGCTTTATCTTGGTCACAGCTGAGAGCGGGCACCCGCCTCTGCCTCCGCGAGGTCTCCTCTTGCCCCGGCACCTGCTGCGGGCTCTGCCAGCCCCCCGCTCAGTCTGCCGCCCGCTCTGCCATTTATTTTTGAACAAATTTGTCACTCTTGGGGAGAGCATCATCCTTAACCCAGACGGGGCACTCGGACTCTCTCTGTCTCTGAAGCAAGAGACACTCTTGCCAGAGTGCAGGCATGCTTGCGAGAGCCCTATGCGCACCGAGGAGGAAGGAATACATTATAGTGAAAACCTCTCTTCACGTTTTTCTTAGAAACTTTTTTTTTTCCCAGGGAGTAGAGCATGGAAAACACTAAACAACCTTCTTCTCCCTCCAAGCGCTTTTACAGCTTTCCCAGGCCCAAAGCAAACTGAAGGGACAAAAGGCTGATCTGTAGATAATGTCATAAACATTTGTGTGGCTGCTTAAAACCTGCTAGGAAAGTACACTGCTGTGGTGCCCTAAAGTGCCTGAACAAGTCAACCTATTGCATACTCAGTTCGTCTTTCCAGTAGCTAAAAAATAATTACTGTCTTAAAATGTCATTAATCATCGGTGCAGCAGAAACTTGGTTGGAAACTGGGACTGAGGCAGAGGGGAACCTATAGTTTTTATAGCTGGTGGGAGTGACGTGCAAGTGGGCCGCAATGTGTTTTTTAAATGATATCAACATTCATCTGAACACTTTGGCAGACGTATAAAGAGGAGGACAGTGATATTGCTTGGTCAGCAAAGCTGCAGTACTTCTGTCTATAGATCTAGAGAGGCTGGTCAGGTGTTGCGGGGAGCTATTGCTCTCCTCACACCAGATTGCAACAGCAGGAGGACTGTGGTGGCATGCAAGTCTGGGGAGTTTGCAAGGGTTTGCCGAAAAATGCCCAAGAAACAAAGCTTCGAGGACCATATGTTATATATATACTAAATATATATCAGCTGTTTTTAAAGGAAGAAAACAGCAGATTAGGTGATATAAGGCAAGCTATGAAAAATTGTATCCTCAGTTCTTATAGCCATTTCTTTTTAAAGTACTGTGGTAAAACCATATATCCCAGCAGATGGCAGCTAGCTAAAACATTAAATTAAGTTTTATTAGGGTAACAAGACATCAAGATATGGTCTGAAGGGGAAAAAAAAGTGATATAATAATGTAGTGAGAATCACAAAGCTCCCCTTTCCAAATGTAATAGTATGTACATAAGATCGCCGTTTGCACTTGACATATACCTAAAGAATTTAGTGGACTTTTATTACCCAGAGAGATTTAATGGCCTTAGATGGTCTATTTTCCTTTTCCTTGCCTAGAGCTGGATTTTTTTTAAAAAAACAGCTTCACTTAAACATTGTCTCTGGGTATTAAAGATGGGTTCCTACCATGTTCACTGTAGATCTCCAAGCTGTAAAATAAATCAAAACATATAAACAAGGATTTGTAGATCTCCCAGTTGCTGCTGTTAATCACTGAAGTGTGTAGAGCAGTTTCATAAAGACTGCAATCGGACAATTGGAAAAGAACTGAGTGTCACTGGTGGCAAGCCCCCCACAAAAACAACCTCAGAATCTCCAGGGAAATATTTAATCTGGCATCTCCAGCCTTTGAACAATATACATGGAAGGAGATATGAAAGGTGCTAAAAACATTTTTCCTGTCTGCATATTCAAATTATTCTGGAAGGTGGACAAAAATATTTTTGAAAAGTTCCCTCTCTCCCCTCAGAAAAAGAAATGAAGCTAAAATCCAATTATCAGGAAAGGACTCTGGGGTGGTGAAGTGTGAGGCTTTAGTTAATTATGTATTTTATAAATGGTCTTGAGCCAACAAACATTCAGTGAGTTCTAAGTATTGCAAGATTTACCTTTTGATAAGCAGCTGCTATTCTTGAGGACATGAATCTGAAATAACTGCGACTGTCTTTCAAGGTGGGAGCTGGGATTTGACAAACAGGAGGAGGGTGTTGCTACAGAGCACTGGGTGAATGCGTGATAGCAGATATTAACAGTGGAACTCCTTCTGAGCCCACAGAAAGCCACCAAGCAGCCGGCTGGCTCCCAGAGCCGCGAGCGGAATATGTGCCTTTAAAAGAGCCGATAAAATATTTTAATTTCCTCCCTGTGTTGTGAAATCATTGGAGGAGGAAGAAGGGGGAGGAAAAAAAAAAAAAAAAAAAGAATCCAAACGTTGAAGAAAAATACTGAGCTGTTAGTTTACTTCCCAGTAGACATTTTAAGATTTAAGCAACATTAGAGCAGTTGCCAAATTCTTCATCCCCGGCCTGGCGGTCACGGCGGGGAGGCGGGACAGAGCCAACACGGGGCTTCCTCCCGCACGGGGCTGCGGCGTTTCACTGCGGGCTAAAAGGAGTTAGCAGTGAGGTGTCTTAAAACCCGCTTTCTTGGATAAGGGCCGCGGGGAGCTAGGCGCGCTCTCTGAGTCTTGGTTACAGGTAGCTGCATGTTTTTCAAGAGAACACAGGGAATTAAACGGACTTAAATAGTCATTTTCTCTTTCCTAGCCCCCCAACAGAAAAATAAAAAAGAAGAAAAAAAAAGAAAAAAAAAGCTTGTCATGCCAAGTCCACTAAAGCTGACAATAAATCTCATATTTTCGAAGTTACTTTCCAAAATAAAACTATGAAATCAGGTTAAACAGGAAGCTACATCTGAGTATTTAACAAAAAAAAGTACTTTTAAAGATACTTAATCTACTTCATGTCGGCATTATCAGAGAAAAGAAAAGAGAGAAAGAGAATGCTCACAATTTCACACTGGTCAGTTTTATTTCTCCTTGGACAAAGATAAAATATGAAATATGGACAAGTAGAACAGACCAAATGAAGTAACACGCACGAGAAAGAGCATCTCACTCTGCACATTTTTTTTCCTAGGAGATATTCTAAGTGTGAACTGAAGGAGTCGCTAGATATCCTTCCTTTTATCACTAGGTGTTCTTTTAAAGCGATCCAGTAGTCAAATCGCCTGACTGAATTCCCCGCTAGACTGCAGAAATAGCCATTCATGATACTTATTTTTGACACTGCAGTTATGCCTCCATCTTAACGAAAAAAAAAATCCATGATGTTTAATAATCTCTTCACAGAATGTATATTCCTTTTCATTGGCGTTTTATGGTGTTTTAGGTAAATATGTGCGGAGGAAATCAGTAAGCTATAAGGATAAAAAGTTGTGAATTGCTGACACTTTTAGAGGTACAGGGTATCAAGGTTACAGGTAATAATTTAAATCCTACTTATTTTGCATGTCCACGATACACATATTATTTAAGAATTATCTGTGACTCACCTCTGCCATGTGCTGCTAGAACCCATAGAGTGTTTTCATCAACTTAGAATCACTGAGTATTTATTTCTGTAAAGTCAGGCTTATTCTGTGTTATTCTGTTCATATGTGTGTGTGTGGGAAAGTATCTCGGTGATATTTTCTTTGGTAATAAAAGCTGGGAGGCAGGAAAAGGAGACAAAAGATGTCTGTAGGCAGAATACAGAATGAATTAATTTTCCTTCTGGGGAACTAGGAATTGTCTTCTAATATTGGAAAGAAAGCTTAAATACGTTCAGCAAAAGCTTCACTCAGGCTGTAAAAGTCTCTGACAGTTCTGGATCAATGCATTTTAATGGATACAGAAGCAGAAGTAATTGCATTTCCAAAGAAAATCTGAAGTAGTCCACAAAGTGGGACTGTCTTTGGAATACCTGGCCAGAAGTCCGTGACTGCATTTGCAGATACAAATTCAGGATCCCATAAGTAAAATAACAAGTGCTATTGTTCTCTTTGTGTTTTGCAAAAAGCTAAACTACACAGATCCATCAGTGCAGGCAAAAAGAGTAGCATTTATCCATGGTACTAGGCTGAAAGGCAAGCTGAGTTTGGGGGGAAAAAAATCAGAATAGAGAGCATAATGCAAACTGTTAAATCCACAAGTTACTCTGCCCTTTAAGCAATATTACAATATCAAGCAAGTTGAGTGAAATTGAAGCATAGGAAGTATAGGTCTGTGCATTCAGCATCAGGCTATTGTAGCGCTGCCGATTCCTGTTTACTTTGCAAAAGCTGGTCGATGTTCCGTAACCACTGGGTCCAGAGCGAGTTCCTAAGGACAGTCAATATACAAGTCAGCGTATTTACACTATTTCATGCATTAATGCGAGTAAGCAACAGTTACTGAGTGCAAATATCACTACTCTTTTTAGCCTAAATCTTACTGTGTTAACCTGCATGACATAATTGTTAACCTTCTCTTTCACAACTCCAAAGCTAAGTGATTTCAACCCAGCCAGCTATTCAGATGCATGAATTGATTTTTATACCACCTCTTCTCCCTCTGCGCCCCCACCCACTCCCCCCGCCACAGACACTTTGCAGAAAATAGCTATTGTTCAGAGCAACTGAAATACTAATAGCAATTAGAAACATGTAAATAAAAGCGGGCTCTTTTCTCCTCCGACAACGCGAGGCGATCAGATCGGTTGCATAATAGAAATTGGGAAGGCTGTCTGGCAGGCAGCCTTAAGAAGAGAAGAGCTATCTCAATTTCTCTCACTTAATCTTGGCTTCGCGTCAGAAGCTGTGCAGCAGTGCAGTAGAATGAAAGCACGGCAAAAGCTTCGCCAGTAAAACGGCTGGTGCTCATTGACTCTCGCTATGTGGCGATACCTCAGCGATTTCTCGAGCCGGATTACCTATTGATTTTCCTCCTTTCTTGCCTCCCAGGTTTACTCGGCTGGACATTGTGTGTGTTTGGATTTCTCAAGGATTCTCCCCCGACTAACATGGATGTCCCACCATTCCTTGCAGTTGAAGGTTGCTCCTTGGCGCAGTGAATGAAGAACATGCAGGGATTGCTAATGGGTTTGGGAAGCGTAGACTCTCTCCTCTCTCTGTGACCATGCCGTGATCGTGTCTGAGGGCCAGCAATTTACGTATCCTCATTCTTACCCTACCGAGAAACCTGACGGCTTAGAAGGGGGAAGTAAGGCAGCGCGTGTGTGCATAGAAACATCATGAAGATTATTCCCCCTATTCTAACTAATCCAGTCTTCAGATGCACCACTAGACTCCTTCTTTGCTTACTGTGGATTGGATATTCTCAAGGAACCACACATGTATTAAGATTTGGTAAGCTTTCCCGACACTTTTTCATTGCGCGTTTAAAACGGCATGCGATATATAAGTAGGATTGTCTCAGAAGGGGGTGCTGGGGGAGAGCCGGGACGTGCTCCCGGAGTCAGGCACCGAAGTCTCTCTTTATTTTGCATCCGGAGGGATGAATTGCTGTATGTGTTGTTTTCTGTCGCTGCAGCTCATTGTAGCCGTAGTAACGGCATGATGATGGTGATAATTATAATAACAATAGACAGAAAAATGACTGGCAAACGTGTTTGCCTGAGGCTCTGCGGAGCTTCCGTGGCTTCCTCGCAATGTATCTGTTTTGATTCCGCTGTAGTGGGAAGCACGGCTAACACGGTGCTTGCTTAGTTAAAACCTGTCAACTAGTTGTTAAGTTTCTGCCTCCCGGCTCCGGTCCATCGGAGCAGATTCCGTATGGATGCGGCGCTGAAAGTGGAGACCTTTGCGCTGGTTTCACTTCAGTGGCATTTAGTGTTAGAGAGGAGATGATTTATGCCTTGTTCGGTGAAAAAGAATGGCCTTTGTTATACGTTTCAGGAAAAAAAAAAAAAAAAGCATCTTTTCTCTTCCGGGAAAGTTATATGAGTCACCCTCCCCTTCGCTCGCCTCACTCCCCACTCGTCCCCATCAAAAAAAAGAAAAGGGGGGAAAAAAAAAGAAAAAAAAGTACAAGTCATAGATCTGGATGAAATTTCAAGGAGAACAAAGCGGTTTCTGAGATCACGGGGCCCACGGGAACCGTGAAACTAACCTTAACAGCTCTGTGTGTGCGTGTGTAACCTTAACAGCTCTGTCTGTCTGTCTGTAAGAGAGTAGGAGGGAGAGTGAGATATTTCTGCTGCTGCATCCCCTACAGAAGTTTTGTGGTAGGAAAGGGCAGGTCGGGGCAGGGCCCGGCGTCCCCAGGAGGGCTCCGCGGACACCGCGGCCGTGGAGGGGAGAAGAGCAGGGAGAGGGTGGAAAGTTGCGTCCCCCGGCAAGCGACACCGCCTGCGCCCCTGGCAGCGCTGCTGGACGCAGGGAACGACCTCTCGCAACTGGCCACGACGCCACTGGCTGCAGCAGCCCCTGCGTCCATTTCCATGGGACACTGAAAGCTCTGTCTTCGCTTGTAAGAAGTAGCATTTGCGCGCGCGTGTGTGTGTATGTGGGTGTGGGGGGGTGCGCTTTTTTAAAATCTCCCCCCACCCCCCCCAACCCCTCCCGCCCACT